AGGAATCAACACCTAAAACAATAAGTCTATTGGAAAGTCTTTTTTATTATTAATAAATTTAAAAAATATTTGGAAAGTAAAAAAATATACTGAATAATTCTTTTTAAAAATTGAAGGCAACTGACCTTTTGTTTATTTGCCTAGTGCTTCCGTTTTTTTTAAATATATTTTTGATTAGGTACACAATTATTATTTCCTTTAAATAATTAGTATAAGTTGATTGAAAACTGAAACAAATAAAAACTCAAATACTAAATACAAATAACAACGTCTCTAGCTACTAGACGCCTATACAAGAATGGAATTTTCCAGAACATACCTCAACCCAAAAAAAAATTACAATAACTACATCAGCATTTACTTGTTTTTATTAAATTTTATCAAATGTTTTATGCACAAAGAAATATTTCGGTACTTACCCATTACACCTTCAATATTTAAACTCTTTAATTTTCCCTCGATATTACGCGTACACATCATGTTTGAAAAAATTGATTATTCAATTTCTAATCTCTATCTCACTTTAGCAACATAATACCTCCTTGATCTTTGATGCTTATTTGGTTTAGTGTCTCTGCGGCCCTCTGTGTATAAGGGACAAAAATACTCATCCACGTATTTCCGGATTTAGGCCGGAAGTTGACGAAAACTGTAAGGCTAAAAGTTGCAAGAAGAGATTTTAAATTTTTCTTTTTTTTTTGGGATATGGAGTTATAGACGGATGATAAAAATTTCGTGGATAGAAAAGGTTTAGACTTAAGGAATGAGAAGGATAACTATGAAAATCAGTAAGGAAAAGAGAGCTCGAGGGATAGGGCACTTTCTAAGACATTAAAGGGTAGTTAGAGGCATATTTGAAACAGGAACAAAAGTAAAGAGGAGCGGAGGTGCACTTACAGTTTAAAAGTTAACTTTTCACGAATAGTTACGGATGTGGGATGTTCTGATATTAGGGAAATGCGACGATTGGTTCAGTATCTTAATGATACGTTGAAAATAGACAGCCTGATATAAAGCTGCGTAAAAACAGCGTATTATCTCAAAATTGAAATGGCGTAGAGAAATACTGTCAGCACACATAGTCGTGTTGTTATTAATCTACATAATTGAATGATAACAGTTTTTTTCCAAATACGATCATATAGGCACTTACATACGTGTGACAACATAACAAAATTACAAATCATTCCAACGGCGACAGTTAAAATAGAAAAAAGATGCTAAATAGTACTANTGATATTAGGGAAATGCGACGATTGGTTCAGTATCTTAATGATAAACTTAATTAAAAAAAAATCTTTTTAATTTGTAATTGGAATTATAAAATGTACCAACCGTAAAAGAAGATAGTAAGAATCACTTCATTTAAATCAATAGTACATGAGTCTCGCTCAATGATTTTTCTCAAAGCATCCTCTTTTTTCATGTCGCTCGTTGTAGATACGCACACACAAACCACATGACCGGTCGTCCCGCACTCTTTTTTAATGAACATAGTGTACCAAGTCAAATACTTTTTAGTCTGATTAAGATTGAAAAATGTTTTCAAATGGTAAGAGGAATTGGAGGGTGTTATATTTAATTGAAACCAAATTCATTAATTAGTCAAAGTTAAAATAATAATAAATAGTCCCAGAACATTCACCCCCTTTATCCTATCTTTCTGGTATTATCATCAGATTTTATTTTATGTATTATTTTGTAAATTGTGTATTTAGAAAATAGAAAAGGCTAGGAATAAGCTTCATATTATTTCTTTAATACAGAAGATCATTTTATGGGTGCAAACAGGAAAAATAATTAAAAATCCGTTTTTCGTCTATTTACTATTCTTTATTGAAAAAAAAAGTACACTCACAAAACGTTATTAATATTGAAAATAATTATTGTTAGTTATTTAATGTACTACTTCTTGCGTCCTCCTCTTTCTTTAACTTGCAACTGTATAGAAGCTCCTGTGACCAAATTGTAATACCCCAAAGTGTTAGAATCCTTGAAGAACATTCCCTGGAACGACAAATACTTTAAATGGAGAATATTCGAACAGTTTCTGAAATACTTACGTCATAGAACAACTTTTGCTTAGCAGGAGGCATACCAACATCGTCTTGTATTTTCTGTTTCAAATTAGCTACACTTTCCGACAGGGCCAAAGTGAAACTCAGCACTTGACCTGCCAATTTCCATTCGGACTTTTCAGGCATCACTGGAATTGTCACCTTGATGTTAACGGGATTCTAAAATAATAATAAATTTTAAGAAAATGCAGGCAAACAACCTCTACAGGCAGAAAAATAATACTTCAAGGAGAATTATTAAAAAACTACTCACAGGATTACGTGAAAGAAACACTTCTTCAGGCACCAAAGAATCCTCGTTCCGAACCTTTTTATTCGCTGGTTCCTCTTCCATCATACCATCACTTGGATGCTTCATGCCCATGCTCATAGAAGGATTCATTTGATGAGGCATAGGGGTAACAAAACCGCCCATTGGAGGTGGAGCAGCCACTGGAAACAATCAATAAACACATTTGGAAATTTGACTGTAAGAAAAACAATCTTACTCATAAGCGGCGGCGGTCTCATAGGGGCCATTGGAGGCGCAGGCATCATCATTATAGGAGGCTGTGGAGCCATCATAGGGGGTTGGGGAGGTAGAGGTAGACTAATTGATGGCTGCTGGGGCGGCGCGACCGATTGAGGTGGTAATGTGGGTGGCTTCACAGGCTAATAGTAATATATATTTATACAAACTAGCAATTAATTTTCAGGTGCATTTGTTTAAATCTTACCGTAGGTGCTGATTGGGGTTTAGCAGTAATAACAGACTGAGATTGGCCCTTCGAAATACCAGCTTTAGATGTTGACACATTTTTAGGTCCAATTTTTTCTTTTTCTTCATCTGGCAGTAACCCTTTGACTTTGTGTATTTGATGAATCTGGTCTTCTAGCGTAATATTTGCACGAGCGGCTCTTGTTGCAGCTTCTACACTCGATGTGTGTCCATCCCACGTAACCTTCTCATCCTTTCTGGTGTCTTCTTCCCCTATTTTTTTACCAATGGCCGTTTCTTCGTCTCCCACGCCGAAAATGTCCGTACGTCTCTCAGCCAACTGTTTCAAACTTGCATCGATAGAAGTGCCTTAAGAAAAGTATTTTGTGAATGTTTGGAATTGTTTACAACATAAAAAAAACAGATCTTACCAGCAGCAAAGACCTGATCCTGATTGACCTTATCTGATACTTGCTTATCTCGCTGTTCGACCCATCTAGGATCAAGAAGGCCAATGCGCATGTGCTCTTGCACTTTACTTGCAGGAATCTTTTCACCAGTTATGGGAGAAATTAAATAATCGTCACCAACCGTAGGCCTAGATACTTTTGGAGCTAAAAATAGGAAATAATAATTCAGAAGAACATATTACAGAAACTACTTATTATAGCTTCTTACCTTCTTTTGGATTATATTTTTTAACAATAACCTTATCAGGAACTGGAGGAAGTGGTGGCTGTATTGACGGTTGGGATGTAGGGGGTTGTTCAGTGGCTTCGTCTTCAGAACTCTCTTCTTCCATATCTTGAACTCTATTGTCATCCCTCTTCTTTTGAGTGCGGTCCTCCATCTGACTTAAACCTTCGTTCTAAAATAAATAAGGCAATGCTAATGTAAAATATAATGTTTTACAATAAAAACATAATCTTACGGGATTAGCTGCTGGAGTCTCTTCTTCATCATCACTTTCAAGTTGCATTTCTATATCTTCTCCCTCTTCAATTCTTTCCTGGATTAAAAGACGGGCCCCTACTTCTTCTGGAGTGGTTGGTGGAGGAAAATTTCCTATTTCAAAAGGTTGGTAATCCACAGTTTCTACTACGACAAAATCGTGCCAATCTATTTGTGCATACGCGACTGAAACAAGAAAAAGAATAAATTAATTATTATTTTAAGCAACATATTGCATTTATTACCCCTCTCCCGTTCTAAGATTTCTTCTTCTTTGGCCTTTTGTGCTTCCTGATATTTATGCCATTCAGCACGATATTTTACCATATCTAGTACTGCTCTTGCACTCTTTGCTTCATTGTGCAAACGATTTTGAAGACCTTTTGGAGGAATCAACACCTAAAACAATGTTCGTATCATATACAAAGTATTTACATTAGAAACAATAAAATTAGTTACTTTTGTGTACTGTTCCAATAGCTTTGTAAAATATTGAAACAAAGAATGTTGTGGCCTCAGAAAATCAAACTGAAAGTTTCGCTGTTCTCTATTCATTAACTGTGTCAGAAATTGGCGTCCATTACGAGCAACAAACTGAGCAGTCAATTTTACAATATCTCTACAAATAAAATGCATAGTACAGAAAAAGTTTAAAAACAAATTAATGTTAAATGAAATTCTTACAAATCTAAAGCTGAAATAGAAGGTGGATCTGCAACAAACTCAAAGTCAGTAGGTGGATCCTTTGGGACAAAAGGTTGTTCAACTGACTTCAAAATTTCCTGCTGTTTTTGTTGTGCTGCAGATGAAACTGATAGCTTAGATATGGCTCCTGAAAGAGCAGCTGAAGGCTCTTGAGCTAAATAAAGAAATCAAATTAAATACTTCAATATGGAATATTAGGTGGAATAAGATGGCACTGATACTTCAGACACTTTAAATCGCTCTCGAATAAAAGCCTTTTCATAATACTCAAAGCTTATAGGTATACAATACAGCCAAATATTCAAATTTGGCTAATTATCATCATGACTGAAAATGAAATAGCAGACAATACAAACCGAATTAGCTTACCTTTGCCTTCTTTAAAATTACTAACAGTTTGTTGATAGTAAGCATGATATGGGTCTCCAGCATTTAAAAAATTAAATTTAGGGTTTCCAAGTTCGTTTTGTCGAATTCTAGCTTCAAATTCTGGCCCATTTCTTGCCACAAAACTGGCAGTTTTGTCAACGATATCTTACAATGCTCAGGAAAAATACATCAATAATTTAGCCACATAAAAATGGATACATCTTTACGAACCGAACAAGGGAATTTTAAAAAGGATACTCCTTACTTCAGGTGGAGGATAAATAATTCCAATAACAGGGTTAATCGGAGCACTGCTTTCTTCCACATTATTTTCGATATTTTCAGTAGGTGTAATAAGATCTATCGCCGGCATGTTGACAGTTTAATAATTATTTATCACCACTTATGATTAATATTGAGTTTTAGACCTGTTTTTTACTTATTAACAGAGAAAACATCTATTTACTAACATATTTTGACATAAGCGGACATAACCATTCAAACATAACCTTACAAATTACCCATAGACGCCTGTAGAACATAGATAATAGCTATAGAATTTACAAAGATATAGAACGAACATGGATTGATAAATTATTGGTAACTTTGAGGAAATTCATATTTTTTCTTAACTAGCGCTAAAGCACAATTTAAAGCACACTTTTTTCATATTTATATACAGCTAATTGTAAAAATGGTTTTCTTTTTTGCTGTTTATGTTTTCCAGTTAAAATTTAGTAAAAAAATCGCTGATGCTACTTTATTTTTCTGAAAAATTTACCACGTAGACATTAATTACTAGCAACTAATTAACCTAATTAGTAACCAAAAGATGTGTAAGATTTTTATAAGTTAAATCCCAGTTTTTAACTAATAATTTTATATTTCTACAAAGCATCTAAATAAATGGAACCCATTTCATTCCTTTATTAAATGAATAAAAAAAAATATAGATGTTAAACAAAATGTTTATTTTTGTTTTAAAATAGAATTGTATCATATATGGAATGTTTAACTATTATAAACGAATATCTCTCTTTTAAATTTGTTTATATTTTATCACAGTTAGGTAGAAATGTGGACTGTAATTATCCAGAATGTGTTTTGTTTTTCTTCAACTTTTTATCAAAAAGATTTATGTAAACTGTTAGAAATATGGAATTCGTTGTTTCGAGTCCTTATTTGTTGATATGTTGTACCTATCGTTAGAAAAGAAATACCACTCTCCTTAAATTACAACCCTCCTTGCAATAATTTGTTCACGATTGTGCGATATCGATCTACCATTGGGTCGTAGATTTCTGGTGCATCTGGATACGGTTCACATACCAGTTGAGGTGGTGTTAAAACGGAAGTTATTTTTTCATAGTCATTTTCATCCGAAAGTCCATGTTTAGCTTGATAGGCAGCTCCTAGCATAGCAGAATTGGCAGCTTCCTATTCAAAAATACCACGCATTTGTGTAATGAATAATTTGATGTAAATGACAATTTGACAATTATAATACTTACCTGTAAATATACAGGAGCATTAAATACGTCGGCGACCACTTGCAAAATTGATTTATTTGCAGACGCTCCCCCGGTTGCAATTATTTTGGTGTCTTGTCCTAAATTTCAACAAGAAAATTACTTCACGTACCTATCTATTAAAAACTAATAACAAATGAAAATATTTTTACGTACTTACCTGAATGAAAACCTATATCTTCAGCGTAGGCCCTTTTAGCGACTATTTGCCCTTCTATTAAGGCCCTTACCTCGACTTCCAAACTTGAAAATTTTCCAATCCTGTCGCCCGCTCTATTAAATCTAAAATCGCCCTTTAAGAAGGGGATTATCTCTTGGGTATCGAAGTATAGTCCTAATAAATGTAATAAAGTAATTTTAATTAAGATACGATTGTACAGCAGGTAATTTTAATTGTTGGTTACCGAAATTGCCAAAATTTCCCCGAGGGGTGCTGTCCAAAAGTTGATTGAAAATTTCCCATGATTTTTCGGCACAATCGTTTCGAATTCTTTCCCTTGTTAATGATCCGTTCTTAAAACTACAAAATACGTATTTTATTTTTGACTTACGATTAGATTTACATGGCGTACCTACCATAACAGCCCCATGAATGACTCTGCATCAACTGGATTGCACAAAATATGACCGTCAATGACTACATGGGGTTCCTTTAACCAAAGAAACAAGGTGTCACTTGTTCCCAAACTTAGTGCCAACCACCCTTCATGTAGTCGCATACCTTTAAGAAATTTTCTGTTTTAAAATCGACGCCTAATTTATTAATTTTTCATTTATTTGTTTTTATGTATGTAAATTTACGTATATTTTACAAAAACCGTGAAATCTTGAACTTTATTAAGTAAAATATAGACCTAATCGGAAAGTAATAGTTAAAACAGTTTAATAGAATACAAACAAAACAAGATATAGATAAGGCAAGATATTTTCCGAACGTTTTTCCTTTTCAGCATTTTTCATATAAATATGGAATATATGTTTTTTCAACCTCGTTTAACTTAAAATATCACTTGCTTCTGTAAAAACTGTCCTAAACTAAAAAATTCTTAAAAAGTGTAACAACCCTCAAAGACTTTACATTGCATTTATTAGATTACCTATATTACTTTATTAGTTATACGAAATATTATAGTAATTTTCACAAAAACCCTTAAAGTATTTAAGTTGATTTGCAGTTTCATGATTCCATCCTTAAATAAAAGATTGCCTACCCCAGCAACCACCACGCAACTCAAAACCTAAGATTTTCATCTGTTTTATGACCAGTGTGAGATTTGCTATTGTTCTAATTATATTTCTACATCGTTCATTACTTTTCTAATTGACTTTGGCATTTTATTTGATTGTTATCTTCAATTATAGGCTTGTACAGAAGTTCTGTTTTCAGTTGAACGTTTTAACTTCATCGTAGATACCGCTGTACCATAAATTTTGCTAACGAGTGTACATTTTTCAAATAATACTTTCCAAGAAAACAGAAAGCTTTTCAAGAGCAAAAATGTGTATATCTACTTCCCTAAGGAGTTTCTGGAGTACAATTAGTTTTGCAAAACAAAATTTAAATGCTGGATATTACAAATCCAATCAAAAACAACGTAGTTTAACCAGTAATTTTGTTTCACCACCAGTTTTCAAGAGTTTCCCAAAATCAAATTTTACAGGTATGTAGACTAATTATTTATTTACTAATTTTTGTGCAAATTTAGCATTTTTTTACTTTAACTCTAGAAACTCCTTAAACAAACTAATTTACTTGTTCCTGACTTACTTTTTATTAGTTGTATCTATATTAAATTTAATTTTCTTACCTATTAAAGATGCTGGATTATCTCCAGTGAATGCAATTATTTTACAATCGGATTTAAACCCATATCTTTCAACAAAATAAGGTGAAATATTCCCGAGATTTGTTTTTGACGGGACCGGATCTCCCAGTTTTTCGTGTAAGTTGGGACCGCATGCTTCTAACAAAGTGCTATCCCATTGTTTTGTATGGATATTCATTAGATTCATGCCAGAACCATCAGCGTAATCTATTGGAGCAATTTTACCAAGAAATAGTGAACACAAAAAACTACTCACTAAAGAAATTCGCTACAAACAGAATATATAAATTAATTAAATCAACAAGAATGATTTATATTATGTTTTACTTCAGTATTATTATATGCGTCCGGTTTATTTTCCGCAATCTTACAAATTTGAGATCCAGTAAATCTTTCGTAAGCTCTAGAACCTGTTATTTCTGCTAATTTCTGTAATTAGAGTTAAATTGCAATGATTTTATGATCAAAAATATATAAAATAAATAATCTTAACTAACTTGAGGGCCCCCAACTGCTTCCTCCAATTTCGCACATTGCTTTGACGTGCTAGAATCCATCCATACGGGACTATTCGAAATTGAAAAATTACTTCCTAATTGTTGATGAAGAAAATCCGATGATTTTAAGTTTCTTAAAGTTAATTCCGCTCCAGTCTGCCAATAAACAGAGCCATGTTGCTACAAAATTTAAATATCAAGATAGTTTTGGGTTTAAGTTGAACGAAATTAATTCATTATAAAAAAAATGGTGCTACATTGACAATTGATATATGATTTACTTGCAATTGTCCCTGTATTTTAATATGCGGTTTACCTCACTTCCTTCGTAACCTGATAATCCTGGGCAATCTGATAAAAGAATTTTTCGGTTAAGTTCGGTTAGGTTGGGTTCATTAGGTTACAATAGAAAATGATAATACGAACGAAGTAAGTATTGCCATGATCAGGTCCATTGTTTTTTTTTTTCAACAATGTCAGTCAGATCCAAGATCCATGACTGTAGACCGCATATTAAAGAAATACCTGCCACAAAGGTACCGCAAAATAACACCAAATAAACATTATGATGTTTAAAAATAATGATTTTACTTAAAAAGGGAGAGGTATTTTATTAGGTACCCCATCGTCTAATTTGTGTAACTGGACGTGTTTTTATTGATTTTCTTGAAAAATACATTCCATTCCGCTTGATGAAAATATTCGCTTGAATAAGTTACTTAATAGTTAATTTTATTATTTATAAATTCATCGCAGACAACAAACAAAAGGAGTACCTACTTAAAGTATTTAGTTTTATCGTTGCAAATTTTTAATTTCTAATGAATAAATCGCAAAAAATGTAGTAAGTTAACTGATAATTCATCAAGAATCATAATAAAATATTATCTCACTATCGTTTTTATCGAGCGTATTAAATTTTATTGACGTCAAAGTGATATGTATCGTTTACATACTTGGGCTGTGCCAGATATTGCGGTTATTGACGAATAATCAACTCCCGCCAATGTAAGACGATCGAGTATCATATCAACCGATTTGACCCACATCATTGTGGGAGCCGTCACTGTATGGGAATTATCTTTACTTGCCGTAACACCACCATGGGTTCTACAAAATTGAAAAACTTGCGTCAATGCATAACACATAGAAGACAGCGACTTATACATAAATTATTCTGAACACATCACCCACATACCCCCATTGCGTCCTACTTTTACTAAATGAAAAATAGGGTGTTTCTGAAATAAATAGCAAGCTTGCAAAAGGTGATGGAGCACTATAAAATAAGAAAATTAAGTAAATGTTTAGTGGTAGAAAAATCCACCGTTTTCGAGAATATCGTATTTGAAACTGCAGTCCGGCCCTGGCGATCACGCAGGGAAATACGACATTGCAACACCATTCCATCACCTGCAGCATCCGTGTTGTATGAGTCTTTTTTTCTATTTTGTGTTCTTAATACCATATTGAGGTGTACTTTAAATAGTATTGCATTCTATCAACGGTGAACAAAATAGTTATTTAATTAATTGCTATCGCAACGTCTAAATATTATTATGTGTAGTAGCTTACTAGTAAGCTGTTAACATTTACTTTATTAGTCGTTTCACAACCGTCAGTGCTTACATTTTTCGTCGATGTAGTTGCTCAGTTATTATGGAAATTTCTCCATACGTTGCTAATTCATGTCCAGGGCCGGCTTCTTGCCGAATGCAACTTCTTACAAATTGTTTTGTCCCTTAACCACGGTGTGCTTTACATACCATGCGATTCCTTATTGTGTCCAGTTAACACCCTCCAAAGCTTGCAACTTATTTCAGAAACACCCTGTATAATAAAATGTGAATATTTTCAAAGTGATTATGCTAACCTGAACTCTGGTAAGTCGGTATCAAATTGTACTGACGCTTCGTGAAGAATTTTTAAATCGTCATCTACCACCACCGCTTTCAACTGAAAAATTAAAAAGACAAATTATACTGAAGCCGGATACGTCGGGTATCCGTTCCAAATCGGGTAGTCGGTCCGTCTCTATATGAAAATAGGTAATCAAAGAAACATCTAGAAATCGAAAACTGGGAGAAAAATAAAAAATTGTAGCAGTTTTGGGAGCACTTGATTTTTGACGTTCATCCATGTAGTCGTAGTCCTAAACATTATAGAGTGAACCTCGTATTTGTAGATACCGTTGTTCATAATGTTTGCTACGTATATCAAGTACGTATATACATACAGAATTATTACTTTCAAATAACAATAACCGTAGAATATTACACGACTAACAATTGAAAAATAGCGAGAGCATTCATTTTAAATTGACAAGATCCGTTTTTATTTTTATTTAAAACAATTACGTAAAAAAGTTTACATGTATCTTAATCAACAGGTGTGTCGTATACCATCATATAGTAGTGTAATAATATAAATTACGTCAAGGGGCCGGTTTTCACGCATGCGTTTCCGTGGAAATGACGACAGGAAAAATCGTTTTTAACCGGTACAACAAAGTACCCACTTTCACGCAATAGCATACGACAATGAGAATAGATACTATAACAGTTTGTTTAATTTTAATAAAATACCTGCTGAGTGCTGAGGTCTAGGCCTAGGTAGGTCGGTGATGCGTTCGATCCCATCTTGGTTAGTCTCATACTGGAGGAAACTTTACTTTAGATAGTTTGACGGTCTTACTACAAAACCGGAGCACTTAAACTGTCCGAGGAGGAGGTCAAGGTATCGCGATACCCTACAACTTTCAGTACATGCTTACGTGAAGCGATTTGTTGTATTATCGTGGATATAAAGTTGTAGTCAGTCGCTCTAGTTGCGATAATGCGAAATGAGACTTTCTTTACGATTTTGAATTGTCGTCGTCAGAGCTCGTCATCGAAGGTGCCACTACCACCTTCCTGTCGATTAAATTATGTCGTACAATACCATACAAGTATTACTACCGTGTTTGTATTGTATTAAGCGTACATACACATCCGTATAAGTAATAATCCGTACTTATGGATTTTGACATTAGCTGGGATGTAGGAGAAATTTGACGTTTTATTTTGTTTTCTTGCATAATAATTTTCCTGCGTACTTACTGCGTACCTACCTACCACAATTAGATTATGATAAGCCGATTAGAATTAAAACTACATAATACAATGGAATATTACCTACACATTATTTTATTTATTACATTTTAAGCACTAGAAATATAATTCACAATTAGCTGACGAATTTTTATATGCATTGTACATACAGGTTGGTTGGTCGTAATCATTTTAAGCCTTTTCGAAATTTCCACACATAGTTCCTGAGTTACACTTTCTCAGTTTTAGGAAAGACTGACAGTCCACAGCGACTCTAAGTACTATCCTAGCAAATCGTAGAAAAACTCAGTTCATTGAGTTACTTTTAAAAAAGTGTAGGCAGCAGAGAAACCTCTAAATTTGCCATACATTTTTCACTATACGAGACCTTTTTTCCACAACAAGTTTACAAGCATAAACACAGCATTTTAATCATCGTCACCATAAGGTCGTCAGTCCTAAGACTGGTTGAACACGCAACTCCACTCTTTGCTATCCTGAGCTAATCTTCGTATTTCCCTAAAACTACAACTTTTTACATCCTTGACTATTTGAGAACAGTAATCTAATCTAGGTCTACCTCTACCCCTCCTCACTTCCGTTTCTGCCTCTAATATGTCTCTGACTAGACCTTCATGCCTACCAACCTATCTTGTCTATTCTCCTATTCTTTCTAATACTTTCATTTCTAACATTCTCTATCCACGGTATCCTTATCATTCACATGTAACACCACATTTCGAACGCTTCTAACCTTTTCTTTTCCACCGCGATCACTGTCTATGTTTCGCACCTGTACAGCTCCGTGCTCCAAACATAAACCTTTAACAACCTTTTTCGAATTTCTAAATTAACCGTTCACAAGCATAAAAATGCCTTCTTTTTATTGAAGGCGATTTGACCCTGCGCTATCCTCTGCTTTAAATCCCTACTAGTCCTTCCGTCCTGATTTATCTGACTTTCTAGACACCTAAAATCAGCCACTTATGCTAATTTTTCGTCTCCTATCTTTTTATTCGCTCTTTCCCTACTTTTTCCACCCTTGCATACCAACATTTTTGTTTTACTTTTATTTAGTTTCATACAATACTGTTTCGTCAATATCGCTTCCATTTTATTTAAAGCTATCTCTAACTCCTCCTTGCTAGATGCTAATACAGCTATATCATCTGCAAATATAATCATACTAATCATTTGCCCCTGTATATCTATCCCTATACTAATATCATTGATAAAAACTTGATTTAATTTTAATTCAGTCGAAAACTCATCTTTTTCTTCCTTCAGTAGCTCACTGATATTAACAACGACAAAAAGACTTTAAAATGGGAAAATGTTCATTAAAATTAATTATTTTTGTGGTCCATCAGATCTGCTTAATTATTGATTTTTATTTATTGTACGTTTATGTAGGAGTATTACATTGTTATAATAGACAGTCGTTTGTGTGAACATTGCATAACTCAAATATGAACACCTTATTTATTATGGTAGACCACCGTATACCGTGAACAAACTCCACCTCCGGTTATAGTAAACAATGGTTGTTGATCTTAAAAAGCAACATTTAGCCATGGCTGTTGTGTACGTTGCTGCAAATTCCCGATATGCTTTTTCGTATAATTAATAAAGTAATATAAAGTCTAATAAAAGAAGCTTAAAGCTTCTGAGAGGTATTAAGGTTTGTTCAAAATATCTTGAGACTTATTTTAAGACAGTATTCAGATTGTGTGCAGGTTTATTGTATTACACTTGCTGTTTTTCCGCATTTGAGACCATAAAATTATTAAAGAGTAGATATGGAAATAGCATTTTTTTGGAAGCGCTCCGTGATAAACGTTCTGGACAATTGGTCTAAAATGTAGTAAACCTTTGATAGTTTCCTGTCTGCAAATCGTGCCAAGTGTTAAGGACCAAAACAAGTCGGATCGCGGCGTCCTGTCTCTCCCGGCCGTCCAGGAAGCGCCACATCCCCATCCCATGACGTTCCGCTAGACATACTTTGATTCCAAATCGACTTGTTTTCTTGTTTACAATGTATGTATTACCCATATACATAATACATACTAGCATGGAAAGATTTGCAATAGTTTGCGAATCCAGGGCAAGAATTTATGAATGTGTTATTGCGTATTAGAAACCACTAGTTTCCCCTATTTATATAGATAGTTATAGATACATAGCTCACACCTCTTATTATTATAGTATATATGGGAAAACATTTATGACAACGTTTACCATATTATATATAGTAAAAGCTCTTTTTCGCGAGGTATACGTTCCATAAATATGGCGCGAATACAGAAACCATGGATATGGAATGGTAATTAGTATGGAATCATAGGGGATTCCAAAATAATACCAATATGTATCAGAATAAAATCGTTAAAATCGTTATAATCATCATTAGAAAAGGGTTTAAAAAATTTAATGTTTTCAATTTTTAATTAGTCCACTTGGTTACACCTTTTATAAAAGTCGCCTCGGCACTTAGCAACAATACAAACTCAAAAGATGCCGATACATTCAGTAGTACATGCGCCGTAGAGTAAAAACAGGCTTATCGGTTCTAGATATCATGAGTTTAATGTTTGGAATAGAGGTTTGAAATTTTGTAGTTAGATAGACAAAGCTTTGTTCTAAAGCATGTCGAAGGCCGTTTTTAAATGTTTTAATTTCTATTGAAAATACGTGTCCTACAAGAAGTATCAACTTTAAGCACTTTTAAAAGCTTTTAATCACCATATTATTGAAAACCAAAAACGTATCGAGTTAGTGTGAACCTTTGTCTGTTACCATACAACAAATCAGATGTTTATCTCGCAGGGTTAAATTACAAAGTTTAGAATAGAAATTCATTTCTTCATAAAAGGGGTTCATGGTCCCTAAGATCCCCATATGTATATAAACTTGTTTACAAATTAAATAATTAACGAATAAAATCATAAAAATCCGTTATAGAAACGTAACGACAGACCCAATTACAAAGGAAGTTTCATGTGCAAACACAATTTCGCCCTTTACATAGACAGTCGTAAAATGGAATTATTTTCATCTGCAGTATTTGTAAACAACAACTTATTTCGTATTAATATTATTATTATTGTTCATTCGACATCAGTAATGAACAAAACAAGATGACGCCAGTTCTTAAAACTGTTGGCGACTTCAACAGCGTCGGGACCACGGTCGGCGGTCGCTAGGACTACTGACGATGAGCGTCGTCGCCGAGGCGCTTGCCGCTTGGCAGAGAGCGACAGACGCGAATTTTTCCGAAATTGACAAAAACAACAGAACCGCGATGTTATGTTCTCTTGTTTTGTAACCTATTTGGCAGGATGAGATCAGTGGACTTATAACGAACAAGTGGAAAATGCAAGCTAACAAAAATTATATCAGAAACAAATATAAATAATTTAAAGATTGAAAAGTTCCAAAAGTCCAAACTCCTGAAAAAGGACCTGTTGAAACATCTTACCCACAGGTGTTAAGGGACTACCCATTAATTACGTAAACGAATTTGGAAGAGAAGGAGTCCAGTCGGACGTCATGGTCCTATTACGTGGGGGTGGTAGCGGGTGAATGTTTGCATCACGTAATAATTTTAGAATTTATTTAAACTGAATTATTTTTGGAAATTAAAAGCCTTTTTGTATTTAAAGCCTATGACTTTTATGTGAGGAGGAGGGAAGTGAGTCAAAAATTGATGCATTTGTCGTTACGTAAGTTATAGACGGCCCCTAATTAGAAAAACTTCCAATTATTTTATAAACATTAGTTAGATATTAGAGAGAACCAAAAATCGTGTGTTCATGAGCCCAAATTTTATATTCTATAACGTAAATAATCATGAGGACTGATACTTTTAGACGGTGTCATAATCTATACAATAAGTTGTGATGATAATCTTCTGATATGTAGTAAAAATATATTTAGTACGTATACGTTGAGGGTGCGCGGGTGAAATTTAATACCATACTATTTCACCGTTAATTTGAGGCTGGCTTGGGGTATGGCACCCTGCGTGACGTCACAGAGCCTACGAACAAATAAGAGTAAATTCGTTTTCCATTAGATTTGGTCTGTTCGCTGGCGGGTAAACATTATAAACGAGCATAAATGAGTACACAGGGTGGCCTAAAAAGATTTCTTAATGGCGTCACACGTTATCGAAAGATCAAAGCATTCTTTAGACAAAATCGAAAGGTTAACATCATCTTCAGCCATAAGACAAAATCAAAGGATTATCATTATCCTCACTCTTAAGACAAAATCAAAGGGTTAACACTATCGTAAGTCTTAAGACNATAGAATTGTATCATATATGGAATGTTTAACTATTATAAACGAATATCTCTCTTTTAAATTTGTTTATATTTTATCACAGTTAGGTAGAAATGTGGACTGTAATTATCCAGAATGTGTTTTGTTTTTCTTCAACTTTTTATCAAAAAGATTTATGTAAACTGTTAGAAATATGGAATTCGTTGTTTCGAGTCCTTATTTGTTGATATGTTGTACCTATCGTTAGAAAAGAAATACCACTCTCCTTAAATTACAACCCTCCTTGCAATAATTTGTTCACGATTGTGCGATATCGATCTACCATTGGGTCGTAGATTTCTGGTGCATCTGGATACGGTTCACATACCAGTTGAGGTGGTGTTAAAACGGAAGTTATTTTTTCATAGTCATTTTCATCCGAAAGTCCATGTTTAGCTTGATAGGCAGCTCCTAGCATAGCAGAATTGGCAGCTTCCTATTCAAAAATACCACGCATTTGTGTAATGAATAATTTGATGTAAATGACAATTTGACAATTATAATACTTACCTGTAAATATACAGGAGCATTAAATACGTCGGCGACCACTTGCAAAATTGATTTATTTGCAGACGCTCCCCCGGTTGCAATTATTTTGGTGTCTTGTCCTAAATTTCAACAAGAAAATTACTTCACGTACCTATCTATTAAAAACTAATAACAAATGAAAATATTTTTACGTACTTACCTGAATGAAAACCTATATCTTCAGCGTAGGCCCTTTTAGCGACTATTTGCCCTTCTATTAAGGCCCTTACCTCGACTTCCAAACTTGAAAATTTTCCAATCCTGTCGCCCGCTCTATTAAATCTAAAATCGCCCTTTAAGAAGGGGATTATCTCTTGGGTATCGAAGTATAGTCCTAATAAATGTAATAAAGTAATTTTAATTAAGATACGATTGTACAGCAGGTAATTTTAATTGTTGGTTACCGAAATTGCCAAAATTTCCCCGAGGGGTGCTGTCCAAAAGTTGATTGAAAATTTCCCATGATTTTTCGGCACAATCGTTTCGAATTCTTTCCCTTGTTAATGATCCGTTCTTAAAACTACAAAATACGTATTTTATTTTTGACTTACGATTAGATTTACATGGCGTACCTACCATAACAGCCCCATGAATGACTCTGCATCAACTGGATTGCACAAAATATGACCGTCAATGACTACATGGGGTTCCTTTAACCAAAGAAACAAGGTGTCACTTGTTCCCAAACTTAGTGCCAACCACCCTTCATGTAGTCGCATACCTTTAAGAAATTTTCTGTTTTAAAATCGACGCCTAATTTATTAATTTTTCATTTATTTGTTTTTATGTATGTAAATTTACGTATATTTTACAAAAACCGTGAAATCTTGAACTTTATTAAGTAAAATATAGACCTAATCGGAAAGTAATAGTTAAAACAGTTTAATAGAATACAAACAAAACAAGATATAGATAAGGCAAGATATTTTCCGAACGTTTTTCCTTTTCAGCATTTTTCATATAAATATGGAATATATGTTTTTTCAACCTCGTTTAACTTAAAATATCACTTGCTTCTGTAAAAACTGTCCTAAACTAAAAAATTCTTAAAAAGTGTAACAACCCTCAAAGACTTTACATTGCATTTATTAGATTACCTATATTACTTTATTAGTTATACGAAATATTATAGTAATTTTCACAAAAACCCTTAAAGTATTTAAGTTGATTTGCAGTTTCATGATTCCATCCTTAAATAAAAGATTGCCTACCCCAGCAACCACCACGCAACTCAAAACCTAAGATTTTCATCTGTTTTATGACCAGTGTGAGATTTGCTATTGTTCTAATTATATTTCTACATCGTTCATTACTTTTCTAATTGACTTTGGCATTTTATTTGATTGTTATCTTCAATTATAGGCTTGTACAGAAGTTCTGTTTTCAGTTGAACGTTTTAACTTCATCGTAGATACCGCTGTACCATAAATTTTGCTAACGAGTGTACATTTTTCAAATAATACTTTCCAAGAAAACAGAAAGCTTTTCAAGAGCAAAAATGTGTATATCTACTTCCCTAAGGAGTTTCTGGAGTACAATTAGTTTTGCAAAACAAAATTTAAATGCTGGATATTACAAATCCAATCAAAAACAACGTAGTTTAACCAGTAATTTTGTTTCACCACCAGTTTTCAAGAGTTTCCCAAAATCAAATTTTACAGGTATGTAGACTAATTATTTATTTACTAATTTTTGTGCAAATTTAGCATTTTTTTACTTTAACTCTTGTTAGGTACACGGGGTAGTCGGGTAGAATTGTAAACAAATTGTAAAGTGTCCTATTATGTTCGTCACGTACAGTTTATTACAGTTTTATTGGTATTAATAGCCAAAATTCCCCTCGGCTGCATTCTTGTAGGTCCAATGACCGCCTACCTGGGGGTAGGATAATATTATGTTTGTACATTATTGTTAGATAGTAAGTTCATAGATTTTATAAAATTTTAAATTAGTACTATTATAGACTCGCTGGAGAAAACATCGTCTCCATAAGACAAACTCTATTATCCTAATTTCTTGCGATTGATTTTTATAATCATTTTTTTTAATTATTCGGTAGTTGTAGTTTTAAAGTTAGTTTATAGTGGATTAAATTTAAGTTAAATTCAATATAGTTATTTTCTACAATCACTACATCTACGTGTCTTATTTCATGTGGTACTTAGTACACCCCGTTGACAATAGTTTATACAAAAAACTTATTCAACGATAAAACATTGGTCCTTCGAGCCAGATTAATTAATCCAGAATCTTCAAGGAAATAAAATTTCCTTTCGGATCACTTACAACATCCTGGTTGGATTCCATTCTTTTCGAGGAAAAATCGATTTCTGTCGAGTTCTGCAAAGCTACCATAGTTCCAGTAATCCGTTACATCGTGATAAAGGCCAAATTAAGAAAGAACATCGGTAAGTGCGATTCCTTTCATATTTACATACTTCCTCATCTTATCCTAACTGCTTTCAATTTGCCATGGAGGGTTTAGAACCATTTGTTAAGCAACGAGGACAAATAAAATCTAGATTAACTCGTTTTAAAAATAAGTTTGATGAAATTTCACAAAGCTTAGAAGTAAATCAAGATGACATAACTGAATTAAAAACAAGGTTGGCTAACTTTGAGTCCTCCTTGAAGGAATATGAAAACATTCATTACCAGATTACTAACTTAAGTGACGATCCTGTTCATGAAGCAAATTTAGAGCAATTCGAAAACGGTTATTACAAAATTATAGCGAATGTTACCAAT